GGGAGGCAGCGAGCTGGGGGGCGGCGGGGGCCGGCGGCTGTGCGAGGGCCTGCGGGATCCTGCCTGCCGGCTGCAGACGCTGAGGTGAGGGGCTCCGGGGCTGGGAGGGTGCTCCGCAGGGACCATCCGACGCTCACCTGCGCTCCCCGTGAGTCTCCTTAGGGCCGGGCACCGTCCCTCTCCAGGGCAGTTTGGACATCTTTGGGTGGGTGCTAACAGCTTAAAAATATAAAATTATTTATTTATTAGCTAGATGAGAACATTTATTATCACCCAGATGAGATGACTGGGATTTAAAGCTGTCCCAGGCGAAGCAGCAGTACGCTCACTGCCCAGCTGCAGTTATTCCACCCACCAGCACCTTTCGGGTGCACGTACACAGGCGTTTGCTCCTTAAAGAGCACCCCAATCGTACTTTGTCATTGTGAGAAGTAATCGGGGGTACCCCAGTCAAGAGGGAGCCCAGCCCTGCCCGTGCCCGTCTGAAGGGATGCTCCCCATCCTGGGGACATCGTATCCAGCCTCAGAGACCTCACAAGAAGCCCGGAGCAAGGCTTTGGAGCAAGTTCCCCCTGGAAGCCATTCCCAGGCATCCGGAGGGCTTGGGGCAGGCGAGCGGGCAGCACGGGCAAGGTTTCTGCGTGCGAAGGACTGTGCATGAAATGTCCAAACGTCTCCTTTCTCCAACCGCCTCCCCGGCAGCCTGCGGCAGAGCCAACTCACCGGCGCCTGCTGCGAGGACCTCTGCACCGTGCTCAGCACCAGCCAGACCTTGGAGCATCTGGACCTGAGCGACAACGACCTGGGAGACGGCGGCATGCGGCTGCTGTGTGAGGCGCTGGGGCATCCCGCCTGCCTCTTGCAGAGGCTGTGGTAAGGGACTTGCAGCTCCTCTGGCCACGGGGCTGCTCCCCGCGGGTACTGGGCCAGGCCAAGTGTGACGTGAGCCACCCCGTGCTGCGGCTCCCAGCCTGCCCGGCGAGGTGGGCGAGTGTTTTCGGTGGAGCTACAGCTGCTCCAGGCGCCTGGGCATGGCGGGGTGCCGGGCAGCTCGATCTGGAGAGCGTCGCACTGGCAGCCGGAGCTGGCGCTGCCTCCTGCCAGCTAGCAGGCAGCTGCCCTCCCAGCTGCTCGCTGCTGGAATGAGTGTGATGAAACCCACCGCCTTCCCAAAGCAGTGGGAAATATCTCGGGACACGCTGCGATGGCACAAATCTGGGCGGGGGGTGTTTCGTCAGCCCCAAAGCAGGCAGCAGAGGTGGCTGCTCCACACGATAGGGCCTGCGGGATCCTGCCTGCCGGCTGCAGACACTGAGGTGAGGGGCTCCCGGGGGGCGTCGCTGGGTGGGCACCGACAGCCTCTGCAAGCGGGATGTCTGCGAGTCGAAAACAGAAAGCAATGACTGTCGGAGAACGTAATGTGCTCGTGGGCTACGCAGCACCGCGCTGGCTGCCCTCCTAAGACCCGCAGGACAAAGGTGACATGCCATCTTTCACTGGGGCCACCACCACTGTGACAGCTCAGGTTTTCCCATCTGCTTTTAAACTTGAGCTTTTTACCCACTTTTCCTGCAGAGCTACAAGCGAGCCCTCTCCCAGCCAACCCACGAGCACAGGGAGCGGAAAGCCAGGCAGGAGAACAGGCTGCAGAGAGGCTGCGCAGCAAGAGTGGCAAAACTGGAGCCTGGCATTTCCCAGGGCTCGGGCAACACCTCCCCGCCTGCACAGAGCCCCTCGGAAAAGGGACTGGGCTGGGCTGGCAGAAGCCCCGAAGGCAGGGTAGCTAACGGGGTGGCGAGCAGCACCTTTGCTTTGAACGGTGTTCGAGGAGGGAGGGGGCGATGCAGCCCTCAGCCTGGCGGGGGTTTTAAGCTCCTGAGCTGCAGTAGCGATGCTGGGGCAAGGGGAGGGGGCTGCAGTGCCCCTGGGTGGGAGACGGGCCTCTGCTGGGGCAGGCGGCAGCTTCTAGGTCCTGAAGGACCCGAGAAACCCCTCGCCGCTAGCCCGTGCCTTCAGAGGGCTGTGGGTGCTGCCCACACCTCTAACTACAGGAGTCCAAGGGGAAAAAGCTACAAGATTTGGGAGGAAATACAAAAGCGAGGTACCGTGGGAGCAGGGATGGTTTCTCTCTGTTGAGATGCTCTCCTCCAGGTCGGCCCTGGGGCAGAGGTGCGGTCAGCGTGGAGGGGGGCTGCGGGCAGCGTCCCCGCAGATCGGCGGGCAGCTGGGCTGATGGAGCGGCCGTGACGATGCCCCTCTCCCCCGCGCAGGCTGTGGCAGTGCCGCCTGACGGAGGCGAGCTGCGGGGCTCTCGGCGCGGCGCTCCCCCCCCACCCCGAGCC